AGTTCTGATAGGCTCAGGCAGAAGGATTGCAAATTCTGGCCCAGCCTATAGAACTTACTGTAACACTGCCTGAAAGTCAAAAGTCAAAAAAGGGCAGGGATGAAGTTTAGTACAAAGACCCTGGGTTCAATCTCTGATACCAAAAAGGAAAAAAAAAAATGTGAGCTAGGCTTGGTGGTGCGTGCCTATAGTCCCAGCACTTGGGAGACTAAGGAAGGAGGTTCACTGTAAGTTCAAGCCCAGACTGGGCTACAGAGTGATTTCAAGACCAGTCTGGACTGCATATAGAAAGAGCCTGTCTCAAAAAGACAAAAAACAGGGCAGGGAGAGGGCTCAGCAGCATAAACACCTACTTGGCAAGTACAAAGTCCTGAGTTTGATCCTCAGTACAAAAAAAATGCTTGTGGAACTTAATTTTTATGCATTTATTATTCAGTTCTTGGAATAGATTTTGAGAAGTGGAATTACTGGGCAATTCCTCTGCCTTTATAAAGTTTTTGGTAAGAATTGCCTATTGCCACAGGAAAATGTCTGCCACTTCCGACATGTAGTATGTGGCTTGGTTTTTCAGGACACAAAGATGCCACCCAGGCGTGTAGCTAAGAGAACATCACCCCCAGAAGATGCTGTCCCCAAAAGCAAGAAAGTGAAAGGTAAGTGGGCCTTGGCCTCTTCTCTCTGGGTGTCAGTGGCCTCTTGGAGCCCTGAGGGCCTAGAACTGGGCCCCTTCCTCCCAGACACTTGAAGATGAGAAAATTGAGTGTCCAGGGACCCCATCCTGTAGCTCATTGAATTCCACCCCCTTAGAGTCATAAAAGGGGCAGATGCTTATCTGAGGGAATTTGATCAGTGCTAGCCAAAAAAAACTACATCCTGTACTTGGCGTGGTGGTGCATGCCTGACTCTGGAGGCTAAAGCAGGATAATCACCATGAGTTTGAGGCCCAGCCTGAGCTACATAATGACATCATGTCTCAAAAACAAAACTATAGATCCTAGGACTTGATTCTAGGTAGTAATAATGCGTTGTGGTTAGCACCATTGGCTTCAGAGCTGTGTTTGAGTCCCTGCTCTATCACATTCTAGCTGTGTAGGTATAGACAAGTCACTTAACCTGGCTGAGCTGGCATTACCCTATAAAATGGAGGTGAGAATAGCAACAACCTCTCTGGGCTGTTGTGACAATTAAATGAGGTGATGTCCAGGATGCATTGAAGGATGTATCTACAGTTTCCTCTCCTGTGATCCCAGAGTAGGACAGAGACAAAAGAAAGCCACCCCAGTCTGGGAGGAGGGAGTGTGGGCCATGCTCAGACAATGTCTGTCTTTTGCAGACTCTCGTAACCGAGCAGTGGAGCCCACTGCCTCCCGCAGTGGTCCCAGCACCCGTTCCTGCCAAGGTGTCTGAGGACCAAGCCCTCCTGACCAGAAAACCCAAGCAGGTGGCTCCTGCCTGGTGCACCCTCTGCGCAGCTGCAGTGGCCACAGCCACAACCCCCGGAGAAGGGCCTGGATGCTATTGGATGGCCAGGCCTATGGGCAGTCTGCTTTCGCCAGCATAGGGGCTTATAACGCCCACTGGTTGGCACAAACCTCCCTAAAAAGGCTTCTATGAGTACTGCGCCCTTCTCTTTAGCTGTCAGCTCTGTTTTTCCTCTGAATAGGTTTGGGAATTGAAGATCACATCCTGAGGATTGAGGAGGTTGAAAGTAAAAACTGGGGATGATGGCTGTGATTCCTATAGTCTTCTTTGGTCTCCACTCTGCTAATTTGCTTTGTGGACTAGTTAATGGGAAAGTTAATGAACCTCTCAGAAGCTCTGTTTCCTGCAAAATAGGATTCTAACTAGGGAAGATGCAAAGTAGGCTAGCATTAATAAACAGTCTGGAGGGCCAGCGAGATAGCTCAACGGACTAAAGCAGCTGCTTAGGCAAGCACAGGGACCAATGTTTGATCCCTGGGACCACATGCCATGCCAGCCCCGCCTCCAGGGTGGGCTGAGCCAGCTACACACACACAAAAATAAACAGAAAGGGCAGACAGTCTTATCTGAGCCCTGATTTTTGGCACCATTGTCTCATACCAATCAGGAAAAAGATCCTATGGGGCTGGGGAGATAGCTCAGTAGAATAAGCGCTTGCCTGGCAAGCGCAGGGTTCTGAGTTCAATCCCCGGTACCAAAAAAAAAGGAAAATGATCCTACATTCTCCCTCACCACCAATACTCATTTCACAGAATTGAGAGTCTCCATGTTTCTGTTTCCTTGCTATGACATCAGTCGCTTTGTGCTCAGGTTTCAGTCTTCACAGAAGCCCTGTGAGACAGATACTTGTGTTACTCCATCTTACAGATGAGGAAACGTAACTCTGGGAAGGGGCATGCTTATGGCCTATGAAAAGCAGAGGCTTGAACCCCATCACTGGCGTCCTAAAGCCCTCTCTTCTTGTGACCCTGCATGCTCAGGAGCTCAGGAGCTGCCTTTCCCCCCTCAGTCTCACACAGGTCTCACAGTACAGCCGCAGGTGTGGTGCTGACCCTGGGCCAGGGCGACGTGGGCCAGCTGGGGCTGGGAGAGAGCGTGATGGAGAGGAAGAGGCCGGCCCTTGTGCCCATCCCGGAGGAGGTGGTTCAGGCCGAGGCCGGGGGTATGCACACTGTGTGTCTCAGCAAGAGTGGCCAGGTAGGTTGGCTTTGCTCCAGCTGGATAGGGCCTGAGTTTGGGGAGTGTGGAGCAGCAATTTTGAGTCACTCACATTTTACTGTGGAGATAGAATTGGTCAGCACAGCAGGGTGTGGCCTAAAGAAGAATAAATGAGGAGGCCAGGCCTTGCACTAACAGGGGCATCCTGGGTGCAGATCTACTCCTTCGGCTGCAACGATGAAGGTGCCCTAGGAAGGGACACATCAGTGGAAGGCTCAGAGATGGTCCCCGGAAAAGTAGAACTGCAAGAGAAGGTGGTACAGGTGTCAGCAGGGGACAGTCACACAGCAGCCCTCACCGAGGACGGCCGTGTCTTCCTTTGGGGCTCCTTTCGGGTAAGACTGGGTCTGTAAGGCTACGGTGAACCTTTGGGGCCCTCAAAACAATTCACTCCCAGCCCCACTGTGCGTACTCACTGATGGAGGCAGAGGCAGAGCTGGAGCCAGACCCAAGCCTCTCTGGCTGCTTCATCTGGATCTGTCCACACCACTGCTATTTCCTTGAGTCGGACACTTTGGGGTTAGTGCTGGCCCCGGGAACTGCTGCTTTAGTTCTAGCCTCGCCTCAGCCTTTCTTTCCCCTTCTGAGCCCTTTTCCATATTTCAAAGAGGATTTAGGGGAGGAAGCCATAGGGGTGGGATTGCCACAGCTCAGTGATTATAAGGCATGGAGAATAGACTTTAAAAGTTTTAGTGTTAAAATGCTCTTGTACTTTTTATTTTGAAATATAAAAATTAAGTGGGCCTGGCAGAGTGGTGCACACCTATTATCCCAGCACTCAAGGCTGAGGCAGGATTGCTGTGAGTTTGAGGCTGGCCTGGGCTACAAAGTGAGTTCTAGGCAGGCAGTCTGAACTATATAGTGAGACCCTGTCTCAAAAAGAGAAAAAAAGATAAGAAAGCAATCTGATAGGTCTTTTCTCCTCAAGCCTATTTGAAAAATTTTATTTTTTTCTGGAGAATTTCCTAATACATAAGAGTAATCAGAATAGTATATTGATCTTCCATCTATTTAAGATGCAGCTTCAATGATTGTTAAGTTCTAGCCAGACTTGTTTATCTTTTTTTTTTTTTTTTTGCGGAACTGGGGATTGAACTCAGTTCCTTGCACTTACCAGGGAAGCACTTATTCCACTGAGCCATCTCCTTGGCCCTTGTTTATCTTTCTCTTCTTTGTTGGGGTTTTTTGGTGTGTATGTTCAGCATTCTTTTCTTTCTTTCTTTTTTTTTTTTTTTTTTTTCGTGGTGCAGGTGATTGAACTCAGAAGCTTGCACTTGCCAGACAAGTACTTATTCTACTGAGCTATCTTCCAATCCTTCTTCGGGTATTTTAATGCAAATCCTAGGACATGTGATTTCATTTCCAAGTATTTCAGGATGTGGCCTGGCTCTAGTCTGCCTCTTCATCTCTGTCTGCTACCATTCAGTGCCCTACACCACATACTTCTGTGGCCTCCTACAGGCCTGGGCATGGCTGGTACAAATGGCTGATAAGTGCCCTATCCCTCCCTTCTAGGACAATAATGGTGTGATTGGGCTGTTGGAGCCCATGAAGAAGAGTATGGTGCCCGTGCAAGTGGAGCTGGATGCACCCGTGGTGAAGGTAGCCTCAGGTTAGTCTGGGGTCCTCACTGTGGGCAGGAGCTATAGAATCATGTTCTGGGCTGGCTCAGCCTCTGGCCTTGGTGACAAACCTTGCATTTTCTGCTGTCCTCTTGCCTTCAGGAAATGACCACTTGGTGATGCTGACAGTTGATGGTGACCTCTACACCTTGGGTTGTGGGGAGCAGGGCCAGCTGGGGCGTGTGCCTGAGTTATTTGCCAACCGTGGTGGCCGGAAGGGGCTTGGTAAGTGGCTTTGACATTTTGGCAAGCTACCCCCTAGTAGAGGCCAAAGACAGGATGGGTTCTATGTTCTGGCTCACACAACAAATGGACTTATAATGTTGCTTATGAACTGAGACTTTAGGTTTAGAATATAGCTCAGAGGGCCGGGGAGATGGCTCAGTGGAATAAGCGCTTCCCTGGCAAGCGCAAGTGTCTGAGGTCAATCCCCGGTTCCACCAAAAAAAAAAAAAAAAAAAGAATATAGCTCAGCATCACGATACCCACCTGGCAAGTGTGAGGTCCTGAGTTTGATTTCTGGTTAAAAACAAAAAACAACAACTGAGACTTTAAGACAGGGATGGTAGTACCTTCTATACAAGCACTTAGGAGACTGAGGCAGGAGGACTTCCACAAGCTCAAGGCCAGCCTGGGCTATATAGTTAATTCAAGGGCAGCCTGAACTATACAACAAGACCCTGTCTCAAACAAACAAAAGAAACATTGTGAATTCAAGATTAGTCTACACTACATAGAGACCCTGTCTTAAAAAAACAACCACAGGGCCGGGGAGATGGCTCAGGGGAATAAGCACAATCCCCAGTTCTGCCCCAAAAAACAAAACAAAACAAAACAAAAAAACAACCAACCACAAAACCACTCAGACTCACTACCTGGGTTTGAATCTTGTTCTGGTACTTCTGGCTCTGGGGCCATGGGTATAGCATCTGGCAGATGGTGAATTCCACATACATACCACCCGTAATAGCTGAGAATCTGAGCAAAGCATTTGTACTTTTTTAGCCCCAGTTTTCTTTCTTTCTTTTTTTTTTTTTTTTTTTTTTTTTGTGGAACCAGGGATTGAACTCAGGTCCTTTCATTTGCCAGGCAAGTGCTTATTCCACTGAGCCATCTCCCCGGCCCCTGGCCCCAGTTTTCTATGCTGTAAAATACAGATAAAAATCCCGGCTTAGCCTCCCTCTGAGGGCTTTTGTAATGGAAGGGAAACAGATTCCGTCAGAACATTTTTCTGCCTACAGAGCGACTCCTTGTCCCCAAGTGTGTGATGCTGAAGTCCAGAGGAAGCCGGGGCTACGTGAGGTTCCAGGATGCTTTTTGTGGCGCCTATTTCACTTTTGCCATCTCCCACGAGGGCCACGTGTACGGCTTTGGCCTCTCCAACTATCATCAGCTTGGTGAGTCCTGAGCCCAGCACTAGGCGTGACCTAGTGGCCTGTGTTCTAATCTTGGTCCCACTGCCGTTCATTGTGTACCCTTTATGGGCTCATCTGCCCCTTCAGAGCTGTAGCTGTTTTGTCTATAGTAAGGCTGCCCCTGTCCTAGTGAGGGTGGCCTTGCTGAGGCAGGGTATGAAGGGCAGCTCCCAGAACACCTTCACCCCTGATGACAGGAACACCAGGCACAGAATCATGCTTCATACCTCAGAACTTGACATCCTTCAAGAATTCCACCAAGTCCTGGGTGGGCTTCTCTGGTGGCCAGCACCACACAGTCTGCATGGATTCAGAAGGTAGGACCCCATCCTCTGCACTGGAGGCTGTGTTCCCTGGGCCTGACTCCTGGTACTGTAGTCCTTGGAAGCTGAGCCTGCTCTGTGCGTTGGGTCACATGCGGGTCCCCCTCTTCCCCCAGTGTCCTTGTGCATCCAAGGGTAAAATTCACCGGGGACCAATATGGAGATTCTCATAGGTCTCCTCCAAAATGAAAAGGAACATTGCAGACCTCCTCCTTGTCACCCTGGGAGAGAGACAGGCTCCTCAGGACATGGGGCTCACTGGGTCCACCCTCCACTCTGCCTGCAGCATGCCCTCAGCTGCTGCTCCTCTCTTACTGCAGGAAAAGCGTACAGCCTGGGCCGAGCTGAGTATGGGCGGCTGGGCCTCGGCGAGGGTGCAGAGGAGAAGAGCATACCCACCCTCATCTCCAGGCTGCCCTGTGTCTCCTCGGTGGCCTGCGGGGCCTCTGTAGGGTATGCTGTGACCAAGGATGGTGAGTGAGACTACCCGCCCTGTTCCAGCTGGGCCTGGGAATCAGGATTCCTAGCAGACTCCGGGAGGCTGTAATGTCCACCGTCAGTCAGAGCTGAGGTGCAATGATCACATCGTATTAGGATGGTGCTGCTTTGTTCCTGCCTCAACCTCTGGCTTTGATGGACATACATTATTTTAATAGAGGTGATTTTGCCGGCCAAATAGCTCAGTGGATTAAAGCATCTGCAAGCAGGCGCAGGGGCCAGGGGTTCCATTCCCCCAGGCCTGCTGTGCCGGCCCCACCCCCGGGCGATTGAGACTGGGCGTGGTGGTGCGTACCTGTAATCCCAGCACTTGGAAGGCTATGAACGGGAGAATCACTAGAGTCCCATGTAGTAGTGAGACCCTGAACACCCTGTAGACCCTTCCCTAAAATGCAAAAAAAAAAAAAGGTGATTTGTTTTGTAAAGGAGAAAAAAACCTAAAATGGGAGGTAGCACTGAGGCCAGGGAAGTAGTGGGGCTAGAATCTAGGTCTCCAGACTCCTAGCTCAGGCTCTTTCCATCAGGGTGGCCCCTGAGTTAGTAGTTTCCCAAGGACTTGGACCTAGGTTCCTGGGAGACAGTGTTTAGTATAGTCAGAGTCCTGAGTAGCACAGCAGAGGAGGATGTGAGCCAGTGGCTGCCAAAGCCTGAGTGGGTGGGGGCACAGCCCTGTAGATCTGTTGGAAGTCAGGCTGGAGAGGTTCTGGATAAAGTGGTTATTTGGTCAGAATTCCTGAGGAAGCGGGGCTTTCACTGTAGCTTAAGTTTTAGTCCTTCCTCAGCAGCACAGGGTGGTGTCCCTAGCACAGGAACATCCAGCACAGTCTCAGGGGAGGCCTCAGATTTGGAGGTTTGGGCAAGGTGTAAGGGAGCAGCCAACCATGTAGGTATTGAGTGTCATGGCTAGGAACAGGAAGAAATCTCAGGCATTTTTTAAGATCATCCTGTCCTTGGCTTCTGTCAATTTACCTGACCTCTCAGAAGCTGGGACCTCTCCAGGCTGCTGTTGGCCAAGGTGAATATTCATCCCTGTGTCCCCAGCTTCTTACAGTTTGGAAATGTGGGGCTAGGGACTGTGGCAACAGCTGCCTGTTTCTTTTCTTTTCTTTTCTTTTTTTTTTTTTTTTTTTTTGGTACTGGGGAATCAAACTCAAGACCTTGTACTTGCCAGCCAGGCGCTTATGCTGCTAAGCTACATCCCTAGCCCCTCACCCCCATTTCTGTTTCTTGCAGGCCGTGTTTTTGCCTGGGGCATGGGCACCAACTACCAGCTGGGCACAGGACAGGACAGTGATGCCTGGAGCCCGGTGGAGATGACCGGCAAACAGCTGGAGAACCGTGTGGTCTTATCTGTGTCCAGCGGGGGCCAGCACACAGTTTTACTGGTCAAGGACAAGGAAGAGAGCTGATGAAGCCAGCAAGGGCCTAGCCCCCTTCCTTCCCTCACAGAACAGGGAAACAGAGATGGCTCCAGACCCCAGCAGCCTCTCCCCAACCTCTCCTGAACACTGTGTCGTCTCTTGCCTTTTCCCCATCAACAGAGCAGAATCCTTCTCTTTTTCGTCCTCCTTTCTGGAATCATCCTGGCAGCTGCAGGATGAAGCGGGGAGAGAAGGGGTTGTCAGAAGGAACATTGCTCACCCTCACCGGAGACCTAAGTGGTTAGACCTTTTACCCCGCTTCTCTACCTCTCCCATCCGGCTGGCTCTGACTTTGCCTTCTACAATACCAGAATGCCCTCCCTGGGGGTTTGGTGCCTGCACTCTTGAGAAGCTGGGGCTCCACCAAGCCCCACTCTAGTTACGTGCCACTCTTCCTGTCTTCTAACAGTCCATGGGAAGCAGACAGTTACAGTCATCAGACCCAACTGTCATGGACCCAGGCCTGGGGCAGCTGGAGAAGGGGCAGGGCTACAGAGCCGTGGGCAACCCCAAGCCAAATATTTGGCTCCAAACAGGTGTCCATAGGGCAAAAGACAATGATTCACTTGATGAAGGAAAAAGCCAACTACTCTAGCTATTCTCCCAGAAGCACAAAGCATAGTCTTTGCCTGTCGGGTGTCACTATTATGGTCCCCATCCATTGGGCCTCACCTGTAGTCAAGGACCCCAAAGCCCAATGGGCTGGGCAGGGTATGGGCAGAAAGAGGATGGAGGTTTTATACACAAATGTACAGCAATATTAAGAGGTGAGGGAGGGGAATAGGCTGGTCCCAAGGAAAGGAAGCAGCAGTCTGTACAGTGGCTGAGAAAATGGTTTTAATTTTTTTAAATTGTAAAATATTTTGGAGGGGAGAGTGAAACCTTTTAACACTTTGAATAAAATTAGAGTTTTATAAAATAGTTCCCTTGTTTTTCTACACATTCCCTGTTTCTTCAAGGCAGCATTTTACCTTGTGCCAGGCCTTGTTGGGAAGGACGTAATGAGCCCAGGCCCTCAAACCTGGTGTCACCTATAGCTTTGAGGGTGTCCCCTCTGTGTACCCCCAAGGCTCTTCAAATCCATCAAATAGGAAAAATTTTTTGCTCCCCTAAACCCTTACCCATTCATGCTTTGGGAACCATTGGATTACAAAAAGAATTGATGGTGCCATAATACAAGAGAAATGGGATGAATCTTTTTAATTTTTTTAACCAGAATTTTAGGTATATTACATCTCTAGAAATGCTTTCTGAGCTGTCATACTTTAAACAGCAAATGTATTAAATGTTAGGGCTGGGGAGATAGCTCAGCTGCATAAGTGCCTGCCTGGCAAGCCCAAGGTCCTGAGTTCATTCCCAGGTACCAAAAAGAAAAAAGTGCCAGTCAAATAGCTCAGCAGATTAAAGCGCCTGCAAGCAGGCACAGGGGCCCGGGGTTCAATCCCTGGGCCTGCCGTGCCAGCCCCGCCCCCGGGGCACACTGAGATGGCAATTGAGACTGGGTGTGGTGGTGCAAGCCTGTAATCTCAGCTCTAGGAGACTGTAAACAGATCACTACAAGTCTGATCTCGTAGTGAGACTGAACAGCCTGTAGCTTCCCTAAAATACAGAAAAAAGAGAGACAGTCATAAGCTTAGTCTGTCCAGTAGGCACATTTGGGCCAGGGAGAAAGCTCAGTAGAATAAGTGCCTGTCTGGCAAGCACAGGGTCCTGAGTTAAATCCCTGGTACTGTTAAAAAAAAAAAAAAAAAAATTAGGGCTGGAGAGAAGGCTCAGTGGTCTAAAGCACCTACTTAGAACAAGCTCAGCAAAGCGCAGGGACCGCGGTTCAATCCCCCAGCACCACATGCCAGCCAGCTGCGCCCCCTGGTGGGTTGAGCTGGCCACACTAAATGTTTAAAAAAATTAAAAAAAAAAAATTACAAGACACCCGTTCTGCCAAAACCAAAAAGCAGAACAACAAAGACAAAAACAGATTAGGGGTAGAACACTTACTTAGCATCCGACCCCAGCACCAAATATTCAATCCCTAGGACCAAACAGAAACAATGATGCCTTACTATAGTTTATGCACATTTTATTTTTATTTTTTTTTATTTGTGTGTGTGTGTGTGTGTGTGTGTGTGTGTGTGTGTGTGTGGCCAGCTCAGCCCACCAGGGGGCAGGACTGCCTGGCATGTGGTGCTGGGAGATTGAACCGCGGTCCCTGCGCTTTGCTGAGCTTGTTCTAAGTAGGTGCTTTAGACCACTGAGCCATCTCACCAGCCCCTATGCACATTTTATTTTTGTCTTTTTCTCTTTTTGAGACAGGGTCTCCCAGTGCAGTTCAGGCTGGCCTTGAACTCACTTTGTAGCCTAGGCTGGTCTCAAACTCTCAATGATCCTGCCTCAGCCTTTCAAGTGCTGGAATTATAGACATGTGCCACCATACCTGTCTGCATGTTGTAAATTTTCATAAACATTGAGCAAAGAAATCAGGGCTGACCTACCCAGTATAGTAGTTACAACTACATGTGGTTATTTATATTTAAATCAATTTTAAAACTTGGTAAGTTGTACAAACCACACTTTTTTTTTTCCAGAACTGGGGATTGAACTCAGGCCCTGCGCTTATTCTACTGAGCCATCTCCCCAGCCCCACAAACCACATTTTGAGTACTTGATAGTGTATGGCTTATGTTTGTAGCATTGTACTAGACCAATATAGAACATTCCCATCATTGTAGATATATCTATATCTATAGATATATATAGAGATATAGTCTGAGGCTGGTCATGGTGGTGCATGTCTGTAATCTTTGTATTTGGGAGGCAAGATTAGGCCAGTTGGGACTACATACTGAGAACCAGTTTCCAAAAAGTGTGTAGTTGGGTGTGGTGGCACATGCCAATGGAAATTTCCAGCCTGGGCACTTTAGCAAGTCCCTGTCATCTAAAAGAGATGGAGGGGGCTGGGGAGATAGCTCAGTGGAATAAGTGCTTCCCTGGCAAGTGCAAGGTCCTGAGTTTGATCCCTGGTACCACCAAAAAAGAAAAAAAAAAAAAAAACCAAAGAGATGGAGGTAGAGCTCAACACAGGCTGGCCTCATGCTCATGTTTATCCTCCTGCCTCAGTCTCCCTCAGCTTGCTTATGTAAAAATGTGGGCTGCAAGCGCAAGGGCCTGAGTTCAATCCCTGGTTCCGCCAAAAAAAAAAAAAAGTGTGGGCCAGATGTGGGGGCACGTCTAATCCCAGCACTCAGGATAAGGTAGGAGGATCATTGTGAGTTTGAGACCAGCCCTGGGCTACAAAGTGAGCTAAAAGGCCTTAGTGAGACCCTGTCTCAAAAAGATAAAAAAAAAAAAAAAAATGTTTCTTCAGTGCCTACCAGATCCCAGGTATTACAGGAACTTGAATTTTATTTTATTTTTGGAGACAGGGCGGTCTCACTATGCAGTTCAGGATGACCTTGAGCTCACTTTGTAACCCAGGTTGATCTCAAATTCTCGACAGTCCTGAAGCAGGTTCTGCCAAAAACAGCAGAACAACGCCTGGGATTACAGGCATGCGCCACTATACCTGGCTGGAATTGATAGGTACTGGCCCTAGTATGACTTGCTAAAATCATTATGATGGTCATCTAATATAGCTGATGCCTTTAAAACAAACCCCATCTTCTCTTAGACCACCTCCCCTTCTCCAATTTATCTCAGGACATAATTTACTTCCACCTTTCCCACCGCTTCAGGGAAGACCCCCAATCAACTCCTCAGGTATATCTAAACATCCCCTCCAAATTCCACCCCTGGAAAAGACGATAAAAGCCTCAGCCTCCCGTGTTCTCAAAGAAAATAAAGCCCTTTCCCTTTTTCCTTCTCCCTATTTCTCTGCTGTGCCAAGTGCCTGAAAACACCTATCATGAATTTGATTAGAAAACAAATGGACAGGGGCTGGAGAGATGGTTCAGTGGTCTAAAGCACCTACTTAGAACAAGCTTAGCAAAGCATCAGGGACCGCGGTTCGATCCCCCAGCACCACGTGCCAGACAGCCCCGCCCCCTGGTGGGCTGAGCTGGCCACACACACACACCACACTCTCTCTCTCTAATAAATAAATAAATAAATAAATAAATAAATAAATAAAATTTAAAAAAGAAAACAAATGGACAGATCCTGTCCCGTGAAATTTTTCTCTCCAGCTGATGGAGAATTTACTAGCTACCAGGCACTGTGTTGACTGCTTTCCCAGCTTCACAACACCCCATGCCCACACCCCATGCCCACCCCAGCACGGAGGTAAACACTGCTTAGGCTCAGAAATTATGTGATGTCAGTTTATTTTGGGATATATCCAAAGCTGGGGATGTGGAGACTGGTAGGGAAGCATTTTGGGGCCACTCAGCCTCTTCCAATGGACGTCACCATCAGAAATGCCAACTGCCAAGCACAGAAGCTGTGTTTTTTGTTTTTTTTTTTTTTGTTGTTGTTTTTCTTTTCTTTTTCCTGGGTATCAAATAACTTAAGGCTTTGCTTGGGACACTCCAGCCTAGAAGCTCTTAAAATTAAACTATGAGGCAGTAGACATTCTGGGAGGTTGAGGCAGGGAGACTGCAAATTCCTGCTGAGCCTGGACAATTTCGTGACTTAGCAAGAGTCTGTCTAAACGAGGCGCCGAGTTCCACGGGAGGACGGGGGAGGGGTGTGAACCCATCAGGATCACGTACTTGTTCTAGTCGTGTTTATTTAAGACCCTCCGTGGGGAGGGCACTACCTAAGACTGGTGAGCTCCCCTGACGTTCTGGAATTTGATAGTGGAATGCCTGAAGGTGGGACAGGACCTGGGGATTCACCGTCGAAATGACATTATCGCGATTTACATTCCCTTTTAGTTCACCCCCCAGCTTCAACAAAAATCTCGCGTTTCGCGAACTGGAACGTGTTAGAGTTGTTGCCTTTACCATTTATGCTTTTAATATTTTACGACGAGCGTACACCACTTCTCTGGGTGTGCGCGCAGCTCCGCGAGAGGCTCGTCATGTACGGAAAGTCCCGAGCTCGGACCTGAGCCCCGCCCACTGCGACCCGGAAGCTGGCGCCCAGGGGCACTCGGGAAAACCCGGAGCGGAGCGCCAGCCGGATGGGCCGCGGACTTTCGGCGCGTGCGCAGAAGGCGTCGCCGGCGCTAACTCCGGGGCGGCCCCCACTGCGCGGAGTGGCGCCCGCGCGCGCCTCGCAGGCCCGCGCAGTCTGCGCCCGGGTGCGGGATGGCGGCCAGTCTGTGGATGGGAGACGTAAGTGAGCACGGCTGCCAGGGCTCGGAGGAGAAGGAGAGATCGCGGTGTCCCCAGGGAGGATGGCTCTGAGGGGGAGGGGACTTCAATCCTCGAAAGGCTGGAAGTGGAGGAAAGGAGCGGGTTCTGTGTGCCCGGGAGGGTTCCTGAGGTGGCGACCTGGGTACGTGGAAGGGTGAGGGAGGTCCTTCGAGCGTCGGAAGGGGGAGATTCCCCTGGACTGGGGGGCGCTGTGGTTAGGGGGCGGGCCGTGGGGTTCCCAGGTCCGGGGCTCTCTGGAGGGGCGCAGGCTGGAAGTGGAGGAGTTGGAGCCCCGGGCGCGCTGCGGGCGCCCGCGTGTCCTGCCGGGGGCGGGGCTCGCCCGGGACGCGAGCCTGGGACGTGACGCCCGCCCCGCCCTCCGCGTGCGCAGCTGGAGCCCTACATGGACGAGAACTTCATCTCCAGAGCCTTCGCCACCATGGGGGAGACCGTGATGAGCGTCAAAATTATCCGAAACCGCCTCACAGGGTACGTGCCTTTTTTTCATCTTCCCACTTCTTAAAGGATCGTTCTGCAGCTGTTATTCAAGAGAACGTAAATATCGAAAAGTCAGGGCTTAGGGCTTCTCTCTATCCCTGATAGAAGTCAGGGTGTCCCTGTACCTCTGATAATTACAGTGTTGAAAGGGGTAACAGTGCACGGTAGATAGCACGTTGCTTAATGACAGGACTCAAGAACAGACTGGAGGGGCCGGGGCGATGGCTCAGTAGGATAAGCGCTTGACTGGCAAACGCAAGGATCTGAGTTCAATCCCCGGTTCCGCCAAAAAAAAAAAAACAGACTGGATTTGAAAATGATTTCTGCAGTGTGACCCTTCTGCCTCCTAAGTGACGATGAGATGAATTCCCACTCCTTAGTGTCGTACCTTATTCGCTCAACTAATAGCAACAGATTATAGAGTGCTAGGTAATAAGCACTTTAAATTCATTATCTTTTTAGTTTTTGAGACAGTTTCACTGTGTAGTCTGGGCTAGTCTCAAATTCTAACGGTGATCCTCCTGCTTTAGTTTCCTATTTTGCTTTTTGAGACAGGGTCTTGCTGTACAGTTCAGGATGGTACCGCATTCGCCATCATCCTACTGCCTCAGCCTCCTGAGTGCTGATATTACAAGTATGCACCGCCACCTCAGGCTTCCAGTGCTGACTTTTTACAGAGATGAAGAGTAGTTGTCATAGGTCACTTCCTACATTCTGGCTTCATCTGTTCTTTTTTCCCTGGTTGTATTTTACCTTGTTCTGTCTGTAACATTTCTCATGTACTAGTCAGTGATGGTGAAGTTTTTAGAGCTTTCAATAAGCAGCTGGCTGTGATACACATACACGTACCTAGGTTCGTCACCACTGAAGTAGATGTTAGACCCAGACATTGGATTTGATTCTCTTAAAACATTCTTGGCAAGAGTACTTCTCAGATGATATAATATATAAACAAATTTTTACTGAATACATCTAGGACTGGCTGGCTTGGCAATGCTTATGTTCAGTTTATAAATTACATCTCCATTGGAATATGGCAGCAAACAAAAAAATATAGGCTGCAATTAGTTTATTTCTCCTTTCTTTTGGGCAAAGACAACTGGATTAACCATTCTTTTGTTGTTGTTGTCTTACTGGTTATTCATTGTACAAGATGCAGACATGATATGCTGTCCACAAACACTATTTGAACAAATCTTTCTAGTCATTGAATTAAGAGAAAGTAGATGTATATCTTTTCTTACTATTTTGAGTATACAGATACAAAATGGTCGTTCATTTGTATCCCCTTTTTTTGTTTAGTTTTGTCAAAGAAGGGTATTCCATTGACATTTAAATACTGTAGGTGCGTGAATTCAAAATATTTCAATATAGTCCAGTAGTCCATAATAGTAGTGGGTTTTCCGTAGGACTGGAAGGGGGCATGCCCCTTAGCTCAATTCTTTAAGTGGCTGCTTCAACTAAACAGTCAGGCTCATGTTGCTGTGGTTTGATCCACACAACTCAAGCCAGCCAAACCTGCCCTGAAAGCATTCAGAGCAAAAAAAAAAAAAAAAAAAAAAAAATACCCTCTCTCCATAGGACTGGCAATATCAGAAGTTATCGCTTTTTTTTTTTTTGCGGAACTGGGAATTGAACTCAGGCCTTTGCGCTTGCCAGTGAAGTGCTTATTTCACTGAGCCATCTCCCCCGGCCCAGAAGTTGTTGACTTGAGCCTTTTACAGCTCAGCATATTAATATGGCTTTACTTTTATACTTTGTTTTCATATTTTTCTGCTGGATGGTTAAGACCAAGGTAAAGCAAGACCTATATAACAAGAAATGTGGGCCGGGGAGATGGCTCAGTAGAATAAGTGCTTGCCTGGCAAGCACAAGGGCTTGAGTTCAATCCCCAGTTCCGCCAAAAAAAAAAACAAAGAAAAAAAGAAATGTTTTGGGGCTGGGGAGATGGCTAAGTAGAATAAGCGCTTCCCAGTTCTGAAAAAAAAGAAGAAAAAGAAATGTAACTTTTGTATCTGATAAGGTCAGTCAGATTCCCTCAGGATTTATCTTGAAACCCTGTACGGAAGTTTGTAGATCCTTTGTCAGTGTCAGCCATGTGGGCTGGTGGGAATGTAGACTGGTGCAACCATTATGGAAATCAGTGTGGAGACTCCTTAAAAAACTAGGACTGGAAATCACATTCAGACCAGCTATCCCCCTACTGGGAATTTTCCCGGAGGCACTGAAAACATCATATCATAGTGATATATGTTTTCCTATGTTTATAGCAGCACAATTTGTGATAGCCAAATCTTGGAACAACCAAGATGCCCGTTACCTGAGGAATGGATGAGAAAGATGTGGTATTTTTATACAATGGAGTATTACTCAGCTATAAAGAATGAACTTTAATTATAAGTATTTTATATTTATATAAGTAAATATAAACTTTAATTATAAGTATTTTATATTTATATAAGAATGGTAAGCCTTTATATTTAAGTGGATGCCGTTTGAAGGTATACTCATAAGTGAAATAAACCAGACCCACATGTGTAAATATTGTATAGTCTCCCTAGTATAAGAACTCAGAAGAAGAAATAAAAATAGAAAGGTATAACACAATTAAAAGGAAAGTGAGAATTTGAGGATTAGACAACAAAGAGAGGGCAAGGAGAAAAGCTAGGAAACATGACAGGGGCAAAGCCATACATTTATATGCATGAGATGGTTAGGGCAGTGATCCTGAGCATCTTCAGCAGGTTTGTTTTTTTTTAAATTTTATTTATTTATTTATGTGTGGCCAGCTCAGCCCACCAGGGGGCGGGGCTGGCTGGCATGTGGTGCTGGGGGATTGAACTGTGGTCCCTGTGCTTTGCTAAGCTTGTTCTAAGTAAGTGCTTTAGACCACTGAGCCATCTCACAAGCCCTTCAGCAGGTTTTTGAAACTAGCAGTTCATTGATAGGATTCTCACCCTGACTCTGCTGATACCTGTGAACTAAGCAACTGCACTGAAAATAGCAGTGTGTAATAGTAGGGTCATGCTTGGAATGCCTGTCATTCTGGTCTTCTAAATACATACTTCTTGTCATGACATAACAATTACTGCCATACTTTCTCTCAAGTAAATGTTTGTCTTTTAAAAAGGGGGGGTAATAACCATTCTCTTCTATTTGCTTTCTTTTCAGGATCCCAGCTGGCTACTGCTTTGTAGAATTTGCAGATTTGGCCACAGCTGAGAAGTGTTTGCATAAAATAAATGGGAAACCCCTTCCAGGAGCCACACCTGTAAGGACATTTAGATAATGATGATGTTACCATTTTTTACTGTCATTGATTACCATCACCTACTGAATCCCTACTGTATACTTACATCATTGTATTTAATCTTGTAACCACCCTTTGCAGTAGGCATTGTTATCTTTGATGGACCAGGAAACAAGTTTAGGGAAGTAGAATCATTTGCTCAAGGCAAGAAAGGTAGTAAAATAACAGAGCCAGGAGTCAGGCAAGATTGGTTGCTTCCAAACCCTGTCCCCTTAGGCCGCGGTTATAGTTCAGTGGCACAGTGCCTGCCTGGCAAGCACAAGGTCCTGGATTTGATTCCCAGTACAAAAAAAAAAAAAAGTTCTTCAAAACCTGTCCCCTTTCTACTCTGTGTCACTGCCTTCCTCCTTTGACAGAAGTTGTGAAATGCTAGGTCTTTTGCCTGGTCAAGAAACTGGAACAGGCTGGCAGCAGCAAGAACACATTTCAAGAGAGTTACATTCTGCTCTTCCCACAGTTACTTAGCTTACAGCTGCACCAGCTGGCACACCTGGGCTCATAGAACATGGAGCTGGCAGTGCCCTTAACGGTCATCCGTGCAACCCCCTCATTTTATACAGGACAAAAGGCTGAGGCTTAGAGAGGGGGAGATATTTTGGCCAAGGTAATTTATTTCAGTTTTTTTCAAATATTGTTTGCCTTTTGATTCACCTTTCTCTGTTTTAGTGTGTCAATTTTTAAATTTCCAGGCAAAACGTTTTAAACTGAACTATGCTACTTACGGGAAACAACCAGATAATAGGTAAGTACAGAGCAGCCCAAGGTAGTGTCAAGTTCCAGAAAATGTCTAACATTGTGCCAGTCATTGCCAGGAGGAGGATGGGGTGCCAGGTTTGGTTGCTCTTGAACATTTTTCTGTTTCTCCATTGGTGGACCTTCCTGGAGTGCGTCATGCCACCTTTGGTCCCTCTTCCAGCCTCCCACTGTTACTGTCCAGTGTGGAGGTTGTGTCCACTAAGAACCTACCTGTTATGCCTCAGTGAGATTGCACATCCTGAAAGCTCAGCTACTCCAGAGACAGGAGGATTGCAGTTTAATACTATCCTGGGCAGTTTAGTGAGACCAGCTCACGAAAGGGTGGGGGGCAAGGATGTGGCTCCAGGAGTAGGGTACCTCTGGAGTCCAACCCTATTACTATGAGGAGAAAAGAATAAATAGGAAGGTTGCAAATGTAGCTCACTTAGCAGAACGCTTACCTAGTATGCACAAGCCTCAGGTTCAGTGTCCAGCATTTGAAAAAAGAATTGTAAATTGGTTAGCATTTCAGTTTGCTATCTGAAAACTTGTTTTTTGCTTTGTCTTGTTTTGGGTTGTTTATTTGAACCCAAGACCTTTGTACTAAGATACTTTTTTTTTTTTTTTTTTGGTAAATTGAACTTACGACTTCATGTTTGCCAGGCAGACACTTTGTCACTGAGCTATATCCTCAGCACCCCCACCCC